GGAGAGCAAAAAATGGGCCTTCCGGTCCCACTGGAAGTTGGGAAATGGGTCATTTCCAGCCTCCGGAGGGCCTCCGGCAGGTGGGGAAGGCTGTTTTTGTCCTCCTCAGGATCCTAGAAAGCCTCTGGAGCCTGGGGAGGACGAAAAATGAGTCTATTGGGCCCACCCTGCTGTTGCGTGCCAAAAGAAGGAGGGAGTGCAGGGGGGTCACGCGCACATGCATGGGAGAGGGTGGGGCACATTGAATTATGGATGTGGGCACGCATGTGCGCAACCCCCCCATGCTCCCCTCATTTTTGGCATGTGACGGCAAAAAGGTTGGCCGTCACTGATTTAAATTATAGTTGAATCAAAGGTGCTTTTCCAAAAGGCAAGTGAACTTCCTTGATTTTTTTTTTCCTTGAAAACAGTTTACTTCTCCTCCAAGACGTTTCTTCAGTTCTGACTGAATGGTGGTGGGGAATGGAAGGATTTATTTATTTTATGGTGTCAGAAGAACACCAACACTGACATCCCCTAAACTCCATTGAAGATGTTACCTAGACTGTTAACAAAACATTTGGAAACCAACCTACAAGGCCAGAGAAGAAATAATGGATGGAAATGAACCTTCTCCTCAATCCTTCCATTTCACACCGTTCTATCAGAACTGAAGAAGCTTCTTGAATGAGAAACAAAAGTTGGCAGGAATAGCCAACACCCTAGAACCGTGATGGCAAACCTATGGCACGTGTGCCACAGGTGGCACGCAGAGCCATATTAGTGGGCACGCCAGCTCAGCTCTGGGGTGCATGCGTGTGCCAGCCAGCTGATTTTCGGGCCTTCTGGGCCCACCAGAAGTAGGGAAACAGGCTGTTTCCTGCCTCTGGAGGGCCTGGGGGTGGGGTGGGGAAAGCCCGTTTTTCTTTCTTACCTGGCTCCAGATCCTCTCTGTGTATCTGGGAAGGGCGAAAACAGCCTTTCCCACTCCCTTGGAGGCCCTACGGAGGCTGAAAGGGCCCATTTCCCGACTCCCGGTGGGACAGGAAGTGACTTTTTTCCTATCCCCAGCCTCCAGAGACTCCTAGAGACTCCTAGAGAGGCTCCTAGAGACTCCTAGAGAGGTTCTGGAGGCTGGGGACAGCAAAAAATGTCACTTCCTGTCCCACCAAGAGTTGGGAAATGGGCTCTTTCAGCCTCTGTAGGGCCTCCAAGGGAGTGGGAAAGGCTGTTTTCGCCCTTCCCAGATACACAGAGAGGATCTGGAACCAGGTAAGAAAGAAAAACGGACCTACCAGGCCATCATGTGCCAGGAGCGGGGGGGAGGGAGGAGGGGGTTGCGCACGCATGCGCGTGGGCATGTGCATGTGCGACCCTCCCCTGCCCCCCCTTTCCTGGCACGCGATGGCAAAAAGGTTAGCCATCACTGCCCTAGAAGATAGGCTCAAGATCTAGATGGATCTTGACAGACTTGAACACTGAACCCTACCTAACAAAACGAAATTCAATGTAGAGAAAAGTAAAATCTTAAACAAAACCAAAAGTACACATATAGACTGGGGGAAATCAGGCTTAATAGCAGTAACTGTGAGAGGGATCTTAGTGGACAACCAACTAAATATGAGCCAACAGTGTGTGGCAGCAGCCAAAAACACCAATGCAATCCTAAATTGCATTAACAAAGGGATACAATCAAGATCAAGTGAGGTACTAACAGCACTCTATAAAGCCTTAGTAAGACCACACCTAGAACACTGCATCCAGTTTTGGTCACCACATTATAAAAAAGATGTTGAGACTCTAGAAAGGGTGCAGAGAAGAGCAACCAGGATGATTAAGAGACTGGAGGCTAAAACATACAATGAACTGTTGCAGGAACTGGGCATGGCTAGTCTAGGGAAGAGAAGGACCAGGGGAGACAGGATAGCAGTGTTCCAATACTTGAGGGGCTGCCACAGAGGAAGGGGTTTTCCAAAGCATCTGAAGGCCAGACAAGAAATAATGGATGGAAACTAACCAAGGAGAGATTCAACCTAGAAATAAGGAGAAATTTTCCGATAGTGAGAACAATCAACCAATGGAACAGAAGTTGCCTTTGAAAGTTGTGGGAGCTTCATCACTAGAAGCTTTCAAGAAGAGGCTGGACTGCCATCTGTCAAAAATGGTGTAGGGTCTCCTACTTGGGCAGAGGTTTGGACTAGATGATTTACAAGGGCCCTTCCAACTCTGTTAATCTGTAAAAACATTTTCAAGGAAAAAAACCAAAGAAGTCCAGTTTCCATTTAGAAAAGCACCTTTGGGAATGAACCAACTGGTTTGTGGACTCCCCTAGACTGGAGACCTTTTCAGACTGGGTATCTATCTAATTTGCAGCCATTATCTCTCAATGCTCAACTGAATTTTCTTTTCTTTTTTTCCTTCTAGCTTGGATTCTTCAAAAGACAGTACAAACAGATGATGGATGAGGCAGATAATGAAGTGGATGGAAGTCCACCAGAAACCAGCACCCCTTCTGATGCTACCAAAGGATAAATGTCTCTGGAGAATCTCAATCATCCAGTTCATGGTTGTCCCAAAGGTGCTTTTTCAAAACGCAACTGGGCTTTCTTTGTTTTTGTGCTAAGACGTTTTGCTTCTCATCCAAGAAGCTTCTTCAGTTCCGAATTAATCAGAAATTTGAAATAGAACAGAACAGAATAGAATAGAAATCAGAGGGGAGGGGAGGAGAAGAAGAGAGGAGAGGAGAGGAGAGGAGAGGAGAGGAGAGGAGAGGAGAGGAGAGGAGAGGAGAGAAGAGAAGAGAAGAGAAGAGAAGAGAAGAGAAGAGAAGAGAAGAGAAGAGAAGAGAAGAGAAGAGAAGAGAAGAGAAGAGAAGAGTCATTAAGTGTTCAACAGAGTGAGAGCACAGGGTGGGGTGGGGGAACTATATTGGATGAGAAGCTAAAAGTCTTCAAGCAAAAACAAAGGAAGGCCAGTTGCCTTTTGAAAAAGCATCTTTGAGGCTATCAAAGGATAATCAACGGCACCGAAAAAAGTGACATGACCATTTTTCACACTCACGACCATTGCAGTATCCCCCATATTTACAGGATCAAAATCCACATACTTGGCAACTCATATTTATGATGGTTGCAATACCCCAGGGTCATGTGATCACTTTTTCCGACCTTCTGACATGCAAAATCAATAGAGAAGCCAGATTCACTTAACAACTGTGTTACTAACTTAACAACTGCAGTGATTCACTTAACAACTGTGGTCAGAAAGGTCATAAAATGGGGCAAAATTCATATAAGAACTGTCTCACTTAGCAACAGAGATTTTGGGCGTCATTGTGGTCGTAAGTCGAAGACTACCCGTACATAAGGAGCATGTCGATGAAGATATTCAGTAATTCCAAGTAGAGTTATTTGGAAATTGAGTCAGGGCAATTGGAGTTGTTTTCTTGTTGGTTCAAAATGTTTGCTGTTGTTCTTCAGTCTCAGAAAATCGGTTAGGGCAACTCTATCTATGTTTTAAGGTAAAGGATTTAGGAGCTGGGACATTTACTTGCCAACAACTCTGTGCCTACACACCCAACAAGCCTATCCAGATGAGGTGAGAAAATGAAATCTCACTGGAGAATATCTATGGCAGGGGTGTCAGATTCAAGGCCCGCAGGCCGGATCCACCCTGTGGGGTGCTTAGATCTGGCCCCCCATGGTTGCCCTTGAAATAGAGAAGGACCGGCCTCCTGCAGCCCTCTGTCAGTGAAAACAGAGCTTGGGAGAGCTGCAAGCTCCATTTTCGCTGGCAGAGGGCTGCAGGAGGCTGTCGCTTGGCACTCTCCCTGGTCTTGCCTTCCTCTGCTGGAGACAATGGATCCCTGCCAGGGCCACTACAGGTGCCCCTAACATGTGTGATGTCAAGTTGGCCACGTCCACCACAGCCATGCCCCCCCCACCCCCCCCCAAGATCAAACACAACCCTGATGCAGCCCTCAATGCAATCGAGTTTGACACCCCTTATCTACCCCAATCCCTGGGATCGGCACCAGTCCATGGCATGCCAGAAATCGGTCCACGTGAACAAGCAAAGCCCCATCCCCAGGATGCTGGCAGCACACAAAACCCCACACCCTCTGGTCCACGGAAAAACCTCTCTCCATGGAACCAGTCCCTGGTTCCAACAGGTTTGGGGTGGGGGTGGGAGGCAGCACTGGCCTAACCAACTTGCTCAGACCAAAGAAACTACTTGGATAAGCATTGAAACATTTCGAACCAACAAAAAAGAAAAAGCAAAGAAACCCAGTTTCCATGACTCAACTTCCAGTATATAAAAGGAGGTTTAATGGAAGGCTAAAGCATGCTAGTAAACACACCTATTTCAATATTTAACATGTATAGTCATATTAAGAAACATCACCTAGCTGCAGGTTCTCAGCAGATGAAGAACATATGAATGTATGAATGAAATACTATATTACTGGTTACATTCTTTTGTATGCATGTGTTTTGAGAGAAAATAGGCATATTGCCACTCAATGGTTGGACGAGCGGCATATAAATGTCATAAATAAACAAACAAACAATTGTGGATTAGTTTCTGATCCTTTGATCCTGATGAGGAGCAAAATCAAATTTACACTAGAAAGGAAAAACTGCACAGGTAGTCAAAGACCTGAGTTCATTGGCGCAGGTGACACCTCTGCCTTTTTTTTTCACTCTAGGACAGGGCAATGAATAAATCTCCTGTTGTTTCCTGTTAGTCATCTGAAGGATAGTAGACTGACACCTTATCTTCTCTGCCTTCGTAGTCAAAAGAAAGTAAATAAAAATGGGCTTTGTAGTGGTTTGCAAAGAATCGGAATATGGAAACAGAATGGAAATGGCCCGAAGTTTTCAATAGCAATCAGGTTTCTGTTGAAAGGGATTTTGCATTTCCTTCAGCAGAACCTGGATAAGTGCTCTTTTGCCCTCAAAATCAAAGCTGTTTGGTAGCACTATCCACAAACTCCTTTGAAATAACAGGAATGCGCTATGTTCAGTGAAATGCGTTTTATTGACAGATAGACACCTGTCTCAAAGATGCGTTGAACAGCTGTAACTCCTTCTCACTAAGAGAGAGGAAGCCAGTAATAATAAGAAGAAAAGGTTAAGAGGGTCTCAGTGATGGCTGCCCACATCTTCATAGCCGGTGGGTAGTGGGTTGGTGTGGGGATTGTGAAAGAAACTGTGATTTCCATCACCCCATGGATAAGCCTAAAATAAATAAGAGAAAAAGGGAATACAGAAAGAAAGTTCACTGGGGAGACACATCAGGATAGGCTATGGAGGAGAGGTCAGAAAAGTTAAGATGGAAGCCATGATGGGAGTCCCACCCCTTTTTAATGTATGCCACACATGTAATGAATATTCTAAAAGGGGGTGGGGCTTCCATTGTGAGCCATGGCTGCAATCTTGATTTTATATTTTTATATATATATATATATATATATATATATATATATATATATATATATGTAGATTTTCACAGGTACAGGTATGCAAGTCTTGGTGTATTCAGGTCTTTTCCCGTGTAAGATTGAGAGTATCTTGGTGACGTTTCGACCGCTACTACCCTTTTAGGGATATGTTTACAATTACATGGGAAGAAACCCGAGATATTAACTACACACATATATACCCGTGAAAATTTACATAAATAAATATATATATATATATATATAAAATAACTCATGAACATTGTACCACAAACCCACAACTTGCACTTGCCTCTGGATCTTAATATAGATAGTTATTTTCCCTTATCAATAATTGCTTAAATATCAGTACCTCAACTGAAAACCCATCACAACATAGCAAGCAATTAAATACTGGTAGTCCTCAAATTACAGCCAGTGACCATTCGAAGTTACTATAGCACTGAAAAAAGTGATTTATGAACAGTTTTTCACATTTACGACCATTGCAGCATCCCCCATGGTCACAAGATCAAAATTCAGACACTTGGCATCTGGCATGTATTTTTGACAGGTGTACTGTCTTGTGGTCATGTGACCACCATTTCCAACCTTCCCAGCTGGCTTCCGACAAGCAAAGTCAATGGAGGAAGCCAGATTCGCTTAATGACCACATGATTCACTTAACAACTGTGGCAAAAAAGATGGTAAAATGGGGCAAATCTCACTTAGCTACTACTTTGTTTATCAGTGGAAATTCTGGGCTCAATTGTGACCATAAATCAAGGACTACCTGTACATGAAAATTCAGTTCACCCAGAAAAATAAAAGTGCTATTCAGTTAATACTATTAAAAAAAATTGGGGTCCCTTGTGAGCAGAGCTTCAGAACATGAAGCTTTAGGGCTAAAAAGTTGTCACCATCCTAATTACAGAGGACCGGATCATTAAGGGAGAAGATCTACTCTTGACTATGCTTTAGTTTCAGAAGGAAGAAGTCCTTCACAAATACAGTTGAAAGGCCTAAGCACTTCGATTCCCTCTCCTGCTACGTTTTTACCTTTGTCCGAATCCTCAGGTGACGATATGGAATGAATTCAGGACGTTCATGGGGGTGATCTCTCTTTTTCAGCTGCACGTTCAGCCAGCAGATGCCTACTGAAGGAAGTGCCACCACAAAGCTCAAAATCTTCCATAATCTAGCTGATATGCAAAAGGGAAAGACAAAATAACCAAGGGTGCAGGGCAGAGGATCCTAGATGGGTATCAAGTTGCATGAAAAAATAGGATCTGGGCTTCCTCTGGTTAACAGAGAAGTCTTAGTGGACAACCAATTAAATATGAGCCAACAGTGTGTGGCAGCAGCCAAAAAAGCCAATGCAATCCTAAATTGCATTAACAGAGGGATACAATCAAGATCAAGTGAGGTACTAACAGCACTCTATAAAGCCTTAGTAAGACCACACCTAGAATACTGCATCCAGTTTTGGTCACCACACTATAAAAAAGATGTTGAGACTCTAGAAAGAAGGCAGAGAAGCGCGACCAAGATGATTAGGGGACTGGAGACTAAAACATATGAAGAAAGGCTATAGGAACTGGGCATGGCTGGTCTAGTGAAGAGAAGGACCAGGGAAGACATGATAGTGGTGTTCCAATATTTGAGGGGCTGCCACAGAGAGGAGGAGGTCAAGCTATTTTCCAAAGCACCTGAAGGCCAGACAAGGAATAATGGAGGGCAACTGAACAAGGAGAGATCTAACCTGGAAATAAGAAGAAAATTTCTGACAGTGAGAGCAATCAACCAATGGAACAGAAGTTGCCTTCAGAAGTTGTGGGAGCTTCATCACTGGAAGCTTTCAAGAAGAGACTGGATTGCCATCTGTCAGAAATGGTGCAGGGTCTCCTACTTGGATGGTGTGTGTGTGTGCGTGTGTGTTGCACTGGATGACCTACAAAGTCCCCCTCCAACTCTGTTATTCTGTTATTCTGTTCAGTTAACAGCCTCCCAGTGTAACTTCAAGTCACCAGCATTTTTGGTTCTGAGGAAACCAGCAAAGGATATTCTCAAGGTCATTTCTGCTGTCCCCCCCCCCTTTTTTTTTTTGTGGGACAATACATCAAAAGCCAAAATGCTTTCTCAGAAGACAAATGCTAGGCAACGCCATCAATGCTGCATTCCAGCTAATGATTAGATAATAAAAAGGCTCAATGATTAGATAATTAAAATGTATTTCACTGGAAACACTGTCTTCGGCACCTATCGACATAACTATTTTATATTGCAGGATTACAGCTCGTTTATCAATAGACAGGCTTGTTTTCTTCTTTTTTCTTTTATGTAGTCATTTATTTTCTTCTTTAAATCTTAAAATACATTGAAATGAAATAAAAGGCAGTGAGCTCTGCTTAAGTAAAACGTTGGCAGAAGAGAGGGGAATTAAGCTGGGAAGTAGAGGACAATCTGTTATGGGACGTTATGGACCGATTCTAAGGAAAATAAAGGATTTTTCAGTTTAAAAGTGTGCATTGTTTTTCCTTAAATGAAAAACACTAATGAAACAGGGATGTGTTCCCGAGAGTTACACAATTTTTCTATTGCTATTGTTTTGTACATCAAGGAACAACACAAGTAACAAACAAATCTCATTTTGATTGATATTTGTGGGAAATTCAACTTCCAGTCAAGTATCAAGGAATCTTTAAATATCAGATCTCTCTATTTTATCTTTTTTCCCCTATTCTTTTTCCTTGATTCTGCTGTCTCCAGGTATTGTTATTTATTTATTTATTTGTTTATTTGTTTTAATTTGTATACCACCCTTCTCCAGCAGGACTCAGGGTGGTGAACAGCCAGAATAAAACAGAACATACAAAATTTAAAAACAGTTTAAAAATAATTAAATATTTTTGGCCGCAATTTAAAACAAACCCAATTAAAATCAATTAAAATTAACCAAAACTGTGGGATCAAGCCAGCCCGGCTAGGTGAAATAAATAAGTTTTCAGGGCCCGACGAAAAGTCCGGAGGTCTGATATTGTACGTATCTCTGGGGGGAGGTTGTTCCAGAGGGCGGGCGCCGCCACAGAGAAGGCTCTCCCTCTGGGGGTCGCCAGCCGACACTGTTTGGCGGACGGCACCCTGAGGAGGCCCTCTCTGTGCGAGTGTACTGGCCGGTGGGAGGCTATTGGTGGCAGAAGGCGGTCTCGTAAATACTCCGGCCCTGACCGGGGTATTTGTTGGAGTTATTGTCAATGTTGGTAGTAATAATAGTAGTAGTCTACTAGTAATAGTTACTGAGTTCACTTACCACTAGATCCTTCTTCATGGGCAGCTGCCGATGTAGCAAAATTCCTTGTCTGAGCCACCAGTTGAGCAATTCTCCACCTGGGAAACATTCCGGAAACCCAAGGACTTTTGTATGGCAGATCTAATGGAGACCTTGAATTCTTCCCTGTGGCTGGTCACTGTCTTTGCTGGGTCAAAGCCTTCCTGTCCAGCTGCTCTTTCACTCACCCTTCTCCCTCCTCCTTGGACCTGACAGTTGTGTTCATCTGATCCTCTTTGACCAATGAAGTTGAGACAGAAACACAACCTAGCTTGGAGCTTCTATCACAAGGCTGTCACCCAACCCAGGACAAAGAGCCAATTTCTCACTTAGATTGGCATGAGACCCGGGAACTAACAATCCTCCCCTCCCTACAGTGGATTTCAGGGTCTATTTATAAACCAAGCAGAAAGCAAATGCAGAAAGTCCAGTCCCCAAAGAGAGCAACCGGGGAAATATTATTAGAGTAAGCACTTAAAATGTTCTAGTAGAGCATGAGTGGCCTGTTGCAAGCAAAGACTGATATGTGCTCATTGGCGTTTTATACAGCTAGTCCTTGACTTACAACAGGTCATTTAGTGACTGTTCAAAGTTACAAGGCACTGAATAAAGTAATTTATGACCATTTCCCCACTGTTATAACCTTTGAAGCATTCCCATGGTCATGTGATCAAAATTGAGATGCTTGGCAAACTGGTTCACATTTATGACGTTTGCAGTGTCCCGGGGTCATGTGATCCCCTTTTGTGACCGTCTGACAAGCAAAATCAACAGGGAAGCCAGATTACTTAACAAGTGGATTACTAATTTAACAATGCCAGTGATTCACTTAAACACTGGGGCAAGAAATGTCAAAAAATGGGGCAAAACTCACTCAACAAAGGTCTCACTTAACAACAGAAATTTTGAGTTCAGTTGCGACCGTAAAGAGGATTTACCTGTGTATGTAGAAAATTGAAAAGTTCTCAATCCAGCTGGCTGGGGAATTCTGGGGGCTGAAGTCAACATATCTTAAAGCTGCCAAGGTTGAGAAACACTGTTCCAGGTGGCTGATTTTGTAGGCAGCATTTAGGCTGATAATTCTGGGTATGAAATGAATGTGGTATGAATGGTAAAAGATCTCCTGCCAATGGGCAGGGGGTTAGACTAGAAGACCTCTAAGGTCCTTTCCAATCCCATGATTCTATGTTGTATGTGACATTTAGGATAAATAGAATTGAGACCACCTTTTTTTTTTTTGAAATAATTTTTATTACAATTTTCCTTTACACAACTCTAGTACATAATCAACAGACTGTGTCATTTTTGTATACTTCGGATCAACATTCCATACAATATATACATTCTATACATTCAATATCTAATCCTCAATAGCCTTACGTATAATTCCAATTTTTATTTCTATTATCTATCCAAGTGTAGCACTTTTCCCAAACCGCATAAAATTCTGAATCATCTTTTTCTTTTAGTTCTAGGGTAAGTTTATCCATTTTGGCACATTCATATATCTTCTGAATGATCAATCCCTCTGGTGGTGTATTGTGTTCCTTCCAGTATTGTGCGAATGCAATTCTTGCCGCTGTTAATATGTGTAAAATCAAATATCTTTCTATCAAATTTTGTTTTCAGTATTCCCAGGACAAATGTTTCCGTGTTTAGTTCTATTTAGTTCTATTTGACATTTTATTATCTCTTGTAGCCATCCTTGTATCTTAGTCCAGTACTTTTTCGCTTCAGGACACAGCCCCCAAGCATGAAATAAGGTACCTTGATGTTGGTTACATTCCCAACATTTTGGGCTTAAATTCTAGTACATTTTAGCCAGCCTTGCTGGGGCTAGGTGCCAACGGTAAAGCATTTTGTATTGATTTTCCTTATAAGCAGCGGATTTTGTTGTAGTGTAATTTTTGTTCCAAATTCTTTCCCAATCCTCTAAATCTATATTATGCCCTATGTTTTTAGCCCATGCAATCATCGGTTCTTTCACCACCTCCTCTACACTATCAAATTCTAATAAATAATGAGACCACTTTGTTGGTGGCCCAAATCATTTCCCGATGAATTGCACCACTCAGAATGACTAACTGGCTTTCTTTTCTTTTTCTTTTTTTAAAGAAAAGGTGCTTTTTTTCGGCCTTTTCCTATTTTTCGTATTACAAGCAGGAGAATATTCCCTTAACACAGGGTTCCCCCACTCCCCTTTTAAATACTAACATGGGTGTTTAATGAAATCTTCTGTGTGTTACCGTTTCAAAAAATTGTCTGGGAAATTAGCGAGCTGTCTGCCATGAATCCAAAAATGATTGCCTCCAGCAATGCAAGCTGATTGCAAAAAATGAAACTAATGCTCTGAATTGCCTGATCTGTGCAGCTTGCTAATTTAAGGGGTCACTGTTGTGTTCTGCTGACCCCTGGGGGAACAATGTGGTTTTGCCCCACGGCATAAAGCAGGGGTCTCCAAATTTGGCAAGTTTAAGACTTGTGGATTTCAACTTCCAGAGTTCTGGACGCTGAAATCCACAAATCTTAAACTTGCCAAGTTTGGAGACGCCTAAAAAGCAACTGTGATGAGACGATGTTGATTGGAGAGATAGGGACGGGTTGACTCTGAAGCAGAGATTGGGAAGGGAGGCAGATACCCCATTTCTTCTGTCTTGAAACTTTTCAACTCATTTGTTTAGCAACTGTTTGAAATTATCATGGCACCAAAGACTGGAGGAGCAGGATAAGGCAGTCTCTGGTCCCTTGGGCCTGGGAAGGGTCACCAGCGAAGGAAAGAGGGTGTAGGACGATCAAATGAGGGGGGAAGAGAGGGCAGGCAGCAGAGCAGAGGAGTCACGGCACTCTGGTGACAAGCAAATACCTCTCCCCCACCCCGATCCCCCCAAGCACGGAGAATGGAGAGGAGGAGGGTCAGCACAGGGTGACCTGACAACTCGGGAGGAGAGTGCTCTGCCCCTCTTCACAAGGCTCACCTGGGGAATGAGATTTAAAGAGACGCCGTTGGTCTCTTTAAATCTGGGTGCATGTTGGGAACAAATGTTGCCTTTTTCCAGTCTCACGTGCTTTTATCAGCGTCTGGATGCTTTGCTGTGCTTTGCCCTGTTTGCCTGGCCTGGCTATGTGTGAGTTCGCAGTGACACAGTTATACTCAGGTTGTGCTGCAGTCCCAGTGAACTCTTCCTGTGACGAGGACTCCCTGGGACCAAGTTCTCTGAACTTGGCTTCTCTCAGAGCTGGGCTGCTCCTTTGGACTAATAGCAGCCAGGAACCAGTGGTGGATTGCCCCCAGTTCTATAGAACTGGTAATAAAACCAGCAGGAGGCTCCGCCCACTGACATCATCAAAATGCTTCTGTGCATGTGCAGAAGCTTCTGTGCTTGCGCAGAAGAGCGCGCATATGTGCTTGCTTCACTTGCGCTCACGCGCAGCCCCATTACGAACCGGTAGTAGAGGTAAGTACAACCCACCCCTGCCAGGAACTATTGGAGGTGTGTGTTTAGAGATTGGCTCCTGGACTTGCAGTGAATGGTGGGACTTTTGAGGGGAAAGTTGGAACAATAAAGGGAATTAAGCCTTTGTTCCAGCTGTGTTGCTTCCCTGCCCAGCCCCGGGTCATCACATCAACTTACGACCACACTTGAGCCCAACATTTCTATCATTAAGTGAGACATTTGTTAAGGGAATTTTGTCCTATTTTACGACTTTCTTGCCGTAGTTGTTAAGTGTCAAGAGTGTTTACAACGTGAATGCTATTTTGAGACAACCCAGGAGCAAACTACAGGACACAGAGGTTTGTCTTACAAACAGTAGTTTATATTCAAGACTTCTATATACAGACATACATGTGGTAGGCACATACCAGGCAAGCAAGCAATCTTCAACTCTACACGGAGAACAACAATGCAGTTAAAACACAACGAGGAGAGTGATACACGAGGAGAGAGAGAGACACCCTCTAATGGCCTCCCTTATATAGACAGCTTCTTAAAGTGGCAGTAGCCCTGCTAACTCATCCTCAGATCATCATCTTGATTTACAGCCTTACAATAGCTGGTCAGCTTTAAATCTTCATTACCCTGACATTAAGTGAATCAATGCAGTTAGTAACATGATTGTTAAGTGAATCTGGCTTCCCTATTGACTTTGCTTGTCAGGAGGTCGCAAAAGCGGATCACATGACTGCAATTGTCATGAATATGAGTCAGTTGTCAAGCGTCTGAATTTTGATCATGTGCCTATGAGGATGCCGCAAGTGTCAAAAATGGTCATGAATTACTTTTTTCAGTGCTGCTGTAACTTCGAATGGTCATTGAATGAATTGCTGTAAGTTGAGGACTATCTGTATACTCATTTCCTACCTTTTTTTCTAATTGCTACAAGCAAAAACAAGAAGAGAATAGAAAGTTGTTGTAAAAGACAATAGGAAATCATTTGTTTATATCTCTTTTCCTCATTTCTGGACTTATGGCTTTGTTTTCTCTTCCTTTACTTATTTCTTTTTCCTAATTATTAGTGTCTGCCCATTTTTTACCTTTTGAGTTTAAAAACAAATCTAATACAGTTGTAAAAAAAAGAAAGAAAGAAAGCTTAGACAGTAGAACGACAATTGAAAGCAGGAGCAAGTTACTGTAAATATGGATATCTAAATTAGGAGAAAATTTGATAGGGTAATTAAGTTTTCTCTGAGGTAAGCATGAAAAAAAATCCACTGGACTGACTTTAGGCAGGAACTGAAAGGTTCATTTGCATATCTTGCTAACCACAGCCCAAAAAACACCGCAATAAACATTTTGAGACTCTTCACAAAATGCAGCCTCTGTTTCATCCTCATCCCACCCTGTGGAGGCAACCTAGAATTTTCCTTTGTTGGTCCAGTTTTAACATACAATACAGGTAATCCTCAATTTAAAACAGTTCATTTAGCAACTGTTCAAAGTTACAACAGAGCTGACTTATGTTGTTCATACTTACGACCATTGACTGTCTCCATAGTCAGGCAATCAAAATCCAGATGCTTGGGTACTGACTCCTACTTATGACAGTTGCAGTATCCAGAGGTCACATCAGGGGTGGGTTCTACTTACCTTTACTACTGGTTCGCAATGGGATTGCAGAAGCTTCTGCACATGCGTAGATCGCCTATGACGACATCCGGGCTGGTGGATGGAGCCTCCCGCTGGTTTTACTACTGGT